TAATATATATATATATATATATATATATATATTACACAAAATAATTTTTATTTACTTTATTTACAAAAAAATGTACCAAAAGTAGGGAGAATGGATGGGAAATGTGTGAAGTGGTAAGTATATATTGGAAATACATTTCCAGTATTGGAAAATGTTAACTTCTGATATGATACCTTATCTCCTCTCACATATTAGCTAGAATCTCATATCAAAATGTTACAGGGAATGGTGCAAAAGTTACCTAGATGAGCTCCCTTAGGAAAGTGCCAAAAGGGAACCCATAAAGTGTGATACTCTATACCCTGTAAAAAAGTATAGGAGCACGTCCATGGGAAACTGCACCCCTTTTGTACCAGGGTATACTCTTCACCCACAAGAAACATATGTGTCATGAAGGTAGGCGGAAAGCAAGCATAAGACCTGGATCAACTCCAGTCCAAAACCAGGCAGCATCGGGTATTTTTCATCTGGTCTGCAGTAGGAGAAGAGTCTAAAATATCTTCACTTCAATCCCTGGAAGCAGAAGGGAAAAGTAACCTCCATTCTGCCAACCTAGGGAATGCTGATGTTTGCTGTCCCTGCACACATCCAACACCAGGCCACCTGAGAACCCAATATCGAGGTAATGATAGGATGGGGGAAAGTATATGTGGTGGTCAATTCCAGTCCATAACCAGGTGGTGTCAGGTATTTTTTGTTCAGTCTGCAGTAGGAGGAAGTTCTATACCAACTACATGAGTGAGGGCTTATATTGGCTGGCCCTGCACCTATTCAACACAATCTGCCCAGAAACCAACATCCAGGCAATGGTATAATGCAGAAAGCTAGCCAGAATGGTGAACTGTACTTGGTGGGTTATCTCTAGTCCAAAACCAGGCAGCATAAGGCATTTTTCATGCATTCTGCATCTATACCAGCAGAACCTCACCACCCTATTTTTGAATGAGTGGAATTGGTCAGATTAAAGAGGAAGCTTCCATGGTTCACCACTCCAGTGGCTATAAACTAGTGAGTGGCAAAGACTCCTGTACTCCACTAGAAGGAGGGGTGAAAGTGTGTTGAGGAACACAGAGTAACGCAACACCTTAAGACAGTGCAATGGGGACCATGAAACTATTTTGAACAGCAGGCCTGGTTTATCCAACTAGGACCAGAAGGATTGGCAGATATCCTGACACTGCTTTACTCATGATAGTCCATGAGTAGGTGCAGTCTCAATCAGGCCTTTTTTTTTAAGCAAATAATATGCCACAAGGAAGCCTTTAATGGTACTGTGGAACACACCATCTCATCAGTGAGCATTACAGACACAAGTGACCACATGGTGTAGATTTATACATAAGTATACTCTGGCAGTCACCACATGCCATTTCATAGGATTCTGAGACACAGAATAGGGCCCTTGGAAAGGTAAGAAAGAAAAGCAAACAAACTAACCCAGCCAAAGCTGGTAAGGTGTATGTAGAAACATGATGAGAGGAAGTTTATATTCTCACGAAGAAGAAATAGCCATATCAAGAACATAATGTGTGACAGGGTTGTTCACACACCAGTCTACATGATCATTTCCAAGAAACGATGGAGAAAGAGAAAGTAAAGTGTCAGATTTGGTAAGAGGTGACTTGAAAGAGTCAATGTGAATCTACATACAATGAAGCATAGGCAAGACAGATGAGCTGCCATAGCCATCCCATCAGGGTAATGGGAGAAATATCTCATGTAGAAAAGGATTTTAAAGGAATAAATATACAGCAGTATGAACCTCAAAAAGGAACAGTGTGGGCCAAATAACATTGAACTGCACAGATGGGACACAGAAGACAATCAGAATGAGAATGACATGAAAAATGGAAGAGAAATAGGACAGAACACACTGTCCCCTTCACGAGCCACAGACATGTCAGGTAGAAAAGCATGATCAGGATAATTAAAAATATAAGAATGATAGAAAAAAATATGGAAAACATCATTGGCATACATGTAAGATCTTTGATAACCACAAGCAAAAAGAAATAAAAAATAGGTTTTAACCCAATAAGACCCATTTAAAATTACTTTCTGCATTGGAACTGTGTTAGATTCAATATTTAATTAAACAACTTTACTATCATTAGCTGTGTTGCTAACTGACAGTTTTAAGTTGAATGGCATGCTTATAACCATAAGAAAGAGCAGATTCCACACTTGAAGGGGGGGGGGGATGAGTCTCCGTCCATTGTTGAGAGAGAGAGAGAGGTGTCTGTAGTGTTTGGCAATTTTTTCTTCCATTATACGTATTAGTTTGATAGACAGATTGCATTTAGGTTTTACTTTTATAGTTTAATTAATAATGTGTTATTTGTGTTTTAAAATG